TGAAATCTATTTTGATCCACAAAAGTATAAAAGGAAATATCCAAGCTTAGCTTACATTTTTAACAAAAAAAAAAAAAAAAAAATAACATATATTGTTCGAAAAACTTTATATAATATATTGCAGTATAATATAGCAGTATAATATGAGGGGAATCCAGGCAAGCTGTTTTGGAACCTTAAACTTGAATACAAGTCATTCTTGTTATAGTAAAAGTTCTTGGGCTGCTAAAATTTCTTTACTATATCGAAAGCTTTTAATATATTTTTGTTCTAAAAAAATCTTTACTATAAGACAATCTTTACTATAACGAAAGTTTACTATAACGAGAGTGACTTTCCCCATATATAATTACAAATCTATAACGATGGTTTTTTTAAAAATTTTTTTTTGTCATTAAATCTTTCAAATGGACCTGCAAAATTTTAAAATTTTCAAGTCTGAAAACCGGTCTAGCGCTAGTGCATATATCGAAATTTCTAGAATTTTGGCGAGGATATAAAAAATTGTCGGTGTAACATATCATGCTAGATTTTAAGATGAACTTTCATTTTTATAAATTGAGTTCGTCACTCTGTCTTAAATCCATCAATAATAGAATATCAATATGGCCAGTAACATTACAACATCGTTTCCCTATATTAAGATATACCACTAGTAATAATAGTAATAATATAGATATATGCAAACGTAATGTGATTTTAGAATTGGAAAAACGTAGAATGGTCAATGAATTTACGAGGTTTTTATATTTTCTTTTGAATAATAATTAGTTTACCATACATTTCAATTGCTTAAGAGACGCATTAATTATTATTTTTTTTTTAAGTCCTGATATTATTAATCTCGTAAAAAAACCAACAACAATATATTGCGGTGTAGATCCTACCGCTCCTAGTTTACATCTAGGAAACTTATTAACGTTGATGGGATTATTGCATTTCAATATTTTTGGTCATAGTACAATTGCTTTGGTTTGTCATATTTTTAATTAATGAATTTGTAATATTGATTTATAATGATCGAATTATTAATTTGTCAGATCGGTGGTGCAACAGGATTAATAGGTGATCCATCGGGACGTAATACAGAACGTCAACCTATGTCAGTAACTAATATAGAACATAATGTGACCGCTCTCAATCTACAATTGCGTCATATATTTAATAATGGAATTATGTACGCATCAAGACGTGGTTTCGTATTAGATAATCAACTCGATAATTTTTTGATTATGAATAATTTAGAATGGTTTCATAAAATGACAGCCCTTGAGATGTTAAATAATATAGGAAGATATTTAAGAGTTGGGCAAATGTTGATGAAAGATAGGTGAGTCTAATCATTTTATAAGTATATTTTTAAAAATTTACTGAAGATGATCTAAACCTTCAAATTTGCAAAGTGTCAAATTAAGGATGGAAAATGAAGGTGGAATAAGTTTCTCAGAGTTTTCTTATCAATTACTTCAAGCTTATGATTTTTGGTATTTGTATAATAATCATCAATGTCGAATTCAGGTAATGTAAATTTAATAACCTTCCTATTAAAGTCTTTGTATTCTTTGTATTCTTTACTGAATTCTTTTCATTCCAAGTTAGGAGGTAGTGATCAATGGGGAAATATCACTGCAGGCATTGATTTGATAAATAAGAAGAAGAATCGCGATTTGACTAATGTTGAAGATAATTTGGGCGATGCATTTGGTATTACCATTCCTTTACTGTTGACTTCAACAGGAGAAAAGTTTGGAAAATCAACTGGAAACGCGATTTGGTTAAATGAAAATATGACTAGTGTTTATGAATTCTATCAGGTAGTTATTTATTATTTTATTACTATTTAATTATCATGCATGTTTTAATTTATCATTAGTATTTTATGAAAGTTGCCGATACAGATGTAGAAAAATATCTTCGAATATTTACATTATTAAGTTTTGAAGAAATAACACAGATCATAAAAACCCATATGGTATGAATTTTATGAAATTTTGTGATGAATCTGTATATAATAGACTTCTCTTAATATTTATTTTGACTATAGGAGTCACCAGAAAAACACTATGCACAAGAAATGTTGGCATCTGAGACTACAGAACTCGTACATGGGTGTAAGTATTGAAATATTCTATCATCAAATTTATAAAAGCTAAATATAAATTATTCATTCTTTTTCTGTCGTTAAGTACAAGGTCTCCAGAGAGCACAACTTGCTACTAACGTTTTATTTGGCGCTCCAATCAAAAATATGTCTGGCCGAGACATAATTGATGCATTTGCAAATGACTCAAAACGTTTAATTACAATAAAGCGTAATGATATCCTAAATTGTTCAATTGATCGCGTAGCTGTTGTTGCCGGTGCATGTAAATCGCGTAGTGAAGCTAACAAATTGATTAAATCTGGAGGGTTATATTTAAATAGCGAACGTATTGAAGATATGTTTAAACATATATATACTGTATATGCGACGCAAAAATATCTAATGTTCGATATATAGAAATTCGAGCTTTGGCAAAATTCTTTATTGGTTTCATATTAGTACACGATGAATTTTTAACTCTAAGAATATGATTCCCTACGTAGAGTTTTTTCAATATGTTTAATAAATAAAATTTATTAAAGAGTGGATAACGATAATTATTTTAGTTGGAGCGACCTTTTTTTTATATGTACAGTATATATTATAGACTCTATACTAATTTTTGCTATCTTTAATCTCTTCAACGACGTTAACTAAAAATAATATTACAAATATTAATACTACGTGGTATTAATACTAATGCTATACCACATAAGCCTTGATACCGTTAATGCTTTAGAAGACATTAAATGGCTAATACCACCGAGGATGCATTACTATCGATTCATTATTAGAAATATATGCGCATGAAATTACGCGTGACTCAACCTCTTAGAGCGTTCTCTCAATGGACAAAAAAAATTTAATGGTCAATCAGAATGAGATGCTCTTACGTAGTAAACTATTGCAGATTCGGGGAGCGAGATTTAGTTAGGGTTAGGGTTACTTTTTTGCTTCTTCCTTATTTTTAACAATTTCTTTAACGTGACCTTGACGTGATCCTCCACGATATTTTGTGAAAACATAATCCCCGGGTTGAATATCATTTTCTTCTAAAGCCTAATTTTAAAATTAATTAATGTGATTAAATGAGAATTAATTATTCAGTATTTCAACATACCGAAAATTCTTTGCTCGCCATTTTTTTTTACAATAATGAATTGTAATAAAAATCCTAAGGAAAAGAAATTTTTGAAAAATATTGGCTTTTTATTAAGTGTTAATCTAATGTTTAGCTCTCCCGATCTAATTACGTAAATATGTTGTAAACTGTAAAATATTCGTTAGTGGATTAAATCGGTTAAACTATTATTAATAGTATGATTGAAGTGTTGGTTTCCACTATCTGCTATAGAGTAATGGTTAATAGAATTAATCTTTATACGGTAGGTAGGTTCCAACTTGACTAGAAGATAATAAGATGAATTATAAATTTGTGTTTAAACTGTTCAGGCCCGGCCCGCTATGTCGTTATGATTTGGGAAATTAAATATTTTCAAATAACTGCTTTTAAAGTAGATTTTAATTATTGTATGCAAGATTTTGTCAGGAATTAGGTTCATTTTATAATAATTAGGTCATTTTATAATAATATTAGACACGTTCAAATTTTATTTACGAGTAATCGTGATGTTAACATATAATCTCTGAAAACAATATCATATCGATATACTTCAAATAAATAAATAAATAAAATAAAATAAAATAAAATAAAAATCATAGTAGCGTCTCATATGACCCAAATTTTCCTGTGACATAATTTACTAAAAGTTTTAATCTATTTCAAATTCAAGCCTTTTAGAACCTAAACAAAGTTGTAATAAATACTTTGCAATTAATAACAAGATATATATAAAATTATGCATTTAATACATACCTTCAATTGCATTTGCTATTTTTTGCGTGCTAATCTTTTTGCTTGTGTACATAGAATCCGGATGTTTTGGTAAAATAACTGGCAATGTGATGATTAATTTATTAGCATTTAAGAATTGTTTTTTAACTTTATCTGTAGCAGATGGATCCGTTAATTTCGAAAGCCAATCATGAAGTTTATTATTAACATCTCCGGCAGTAGGTCGGTTTTCTGGATTCGAATCCATACATTTATTTGCTAAGTCAATATAACAATTAGGAGTTCCAGGTGAAAATTCTGGTCGTAAACCCTTACAAATTTTAGATGCAAGGCTAATATCAAATCGATCGCCATCAAAAGGCCTATTGCCAGTTGACATTTCTGCCATAATAACACCGAAACCATAGATATCAGCTGCTTGCGTAAGTTGTTGGCCTAACAAAACTTCTGGAGAAATATAGGGCATAACTCCATAAATATCACCTTTTAAATTATCTTCATTTTTGTTTTTAGATAGTCCAAGATCTGAGATATAAGATTTCATACTTCTACTAATGGGTTGATCTTGCAAAATATTCCCACTGTGAAAATCAGCATGAATATATCCTGCATTGTGAATTTGAACTAAATCAGATGAAATATCTTTAAGTTGTTGTAATTTACTTTCCCATGAAAGTTTTTTAAAATTTGATCTTAAATATTTATGAAGATTTCCACGATTAGCATATTGAAATACCATCAAGTATTCATTAGTTTTTGTATTTCGAGTTAATCCATATACTTCGAGCCTACTACCCGATAATTTACATTTAATGTGATTTTTAAACTTGAATAATAAATAAATGAATTAACTAAAAAAAAACATTAAATGTTAAATAAAATAATAATATAACGTCTAACTTACTTCATTTAAAAAATCAAGAGTTTCCTTAGAACCACTCAAGGTTTTAAGTGCGATTATACTATGTGGTTTACGTGACCTCACATAATTGCCAGAATTTCCATTAATTTTGCGTATGCCATCCGACCAAGCAGCTGAAAATATAGAACCAAATCCTCCTTCACCGATTTTTTTAATGTTGGTTAATTTATTAAATGGAACCCATTCAATAACTTCTGTATATGCTAAAGATTTAAGTTGGAATTCTTTGATAAAATTATCAACATCGATACTACTACTTGTCCATCCTTGAATTGTTACGTCCGGATCACATGTTTGACACCATGCTTTGTTCGTATTATATAGTTCACAGAGTGTACATGTTCCATAATTATTATTTCTTTATATTATTAACGTTAATAATATCAAAAAATTTAATGATTTTATATCATTCATGAGATTCTTAAACTTCAAATAATTCCCATACTTACCGACTAAATTTAATGAATAAAATGATTTAATAAGTTTAACTTGTAATTAAAAACATGAACTCTTATTTAAATGCTGGTTAACAAATATCTCTTTATACTTACCGACTAAATTATATGAATAAATGATTAAAGAGATATTGTTAAATGAATAAATATTTATGTACATGAATTAATGATTTTAAAATATGTGGATTAATAAACTTTTTTATACTCACAAACTAACCGAATAAAATGTTTAAATAGGTGATATTTGTAGACCTGAATTGCTATTTTAAAAACATAAAATAATTTTTGTACTTACTCGCTAAATTAACACGAAATTGAAATGATTTAAGTTTTGATTGATTTATAAACATGAATTACCGTCATTAAAATAAGTAATCTTTATACTCACTAACTAAATTAATTATGTATAAAAGTATGGTTTAAATAGTAAATCTTTATTATAAATAGGTAGATAAATAAATGATCTTTTATACTTACCAACTAAATGAAATTATTTTGAGATATTTTTAATAATAATATAAACTTGTATTGCTGATTTATATAAATATATATTAT